TCGGTTCAGTTTTATTGGTTTTACGGACTGAGATAATGGTTAACAGAGACAAACGGGGGCATTTGTATGGCCCCGTGAGAGGTGAAATTCTTGGACCGTGGCCAGACAAACTACAGCGAAAGCATTTGCCAAGAATGTCTTCATTAATCAAGAACGAAAGTCAGAGGTTCGAAGGCGATCAGATACCGCCCTAGTTCTGACCGTAAACGATGCCAACTAGCGATCCGCTGATGGAAATTATATTGCCTTGGTGGGGAGCTTCCCGGAAACGAAAGTCTTCCGGTTCCGGGGGAAGTATGGTTGCAAAGCTGAAACTTAAAGGAATTGACGGAAGGGCACCACCAGGAGTGGAGCCTGCGGCTTAATTTGACTCAACACGGGGAAACTCACCCGGCCCGGACACTGTGAGGATTGACAGATTGATAGCTTTTTCATGATTCAGTGGATGGTGGTGCATGGCCGTTCTTAGTTCGTGGAGTGATTTGTCTGGTTTATTCCGATAACGAGCGAGACTCTAACCTACTAAATAGCTGATACATAATCTTTGTGTATACAGCTTCTTAGAGGGATTTGCGGCGTTCAGCCGAAAGAAATTGAGCAATAACAGGTCTGTGATGCCCTTAGATGTCCGGGGCTGCACGCGCGCTACACTGGCAAAATCAACGTGCTTGTCCTACCCTGAAAGGGGCGGGTAAATCATTGAAAATTTGCCGTGATTGGGATCGGAAATTGCAATTATTTTCCGTGAACGAGGAATTCCAAGTAAGTGCGAGTCATCAGCTCGCGTTGATTACGTCCCTGCCCTTTGTACACACCGCCCGTCGCTGCCCGGGACTGAGCCATTTCGAGAAATTTGGGGACCGTTGATTTAATTTATCTAAATTATTTTGATGGAAACCAATTTAATCGCAGTGGCTTGAACCGGGCAAAAGTCGTAACAAGGTAGCTGTAGGTGAACCTGCTGCTGGATCATTACTTTATGTGATGTTCAATTTTGAATCGCAATGAAATAATTGTTGTGTAACGGCTGTCGCTGGTGTCTAGGTGTTGCTGATACAGTTGTGAACGTCCGTGGCTGTATATGTGGTGACATGTTAGGACTATAATGAGTTTAAGACTTAATGAGCCTCTTAAGTGAGGACGCCAGCACTCTTTTTTTCTCTATATTTTAAAAAAAAACAAAATTCCTAGCCTTTCCGGTGGATCACTAGGCTCGTGGATCGATGAAGAACGCAGCAAACTGCGATAAGTTTTGCGAACTGCAGCAGCCTTGAGCATAAAAGTTTTGAACGCATATTGCCGCATAGGGGTCAAACCCTTTGCTATGTCTGGTTCAGGGTCATTTTCTTTCAAAGCGAAAGCTTTATTGTATAATTGCTTTTGTGGCTTCTTTATGTTTTAAATTGATTGTTAGATATGTTTAATTGTTCGCATGTATCATCAACAATATTAATTTTTTGACCTGAACTCAGTCGAGAGCACCCGCTGAACTTAAGCATATCAGTAAGCGGAGGAAAAGAAACTAAACAGGATTCCCCCAGTAACGGCGAGTGAATAGGGAAATGTCCATCGCTAAATCATTTTGCCTAAGGCATTATGAGGTGTAGCGTATAAGCCGTAATTTTTAATCTTTTGTCTCAAATAAGTCCCCTTGACAGGGGTTCCACAGAAGGTGCAAGTCCTGTACATTGAGATAATTGATCGATATTTACGTGCTTTAGAGTCGGGTTGTTTGGGATCGCAGCCCAAAGTCGGTGGTAATCTTCATCTAAGACTCAATATTGCCACGAGACCGATAGCAAACAAGTACTGTGAAGGAAAGTTGCAAAGCACTTTGAAGAGAGAGTTAAAGAGGACGTGAAACCGGAGAGGTGGAAACGGATAGAGTCGGCGTATCTTTCAAGTATTCATTTACATTATTTTTATGTTGTGATCTCTGAGCTCCAGATTGGGACAGAAAGAAGCATCATAATTTTCTGTGATGCATTTGCTTGTTTGGTGCTTGGGGATGTTTGAGGCAGATTTGTAACCGCCGTTTTGAGGCCAGCTTGCTGGTACCCAAACAGCGTTAGCATCTTTTGTCTTGGACATTTGAGTATGGCTTACGGGCATTTATTGGTTCGATCTGATTGTAAGTTACGGTCGCATGCGACACGTGCTTTTCATTTAGATCGGTCCAGTTAATGCTCTCGTACTCGCTCCCCATGTAAAAGCCGGTCATCTATCCGACCCGTCTCGAAACACGGACCAAGGAGTTTATCGTGTGCGCAAGTTTTTGGGTGTTAAAAACCTAAAAGCGAAATGAAAGTAAATGGCTCTTTAGAGTCTGATGTGAGATCTTGTAAAAAAGGGCAGCATGGCCCCATTCTAACTGTTTACAGTAGGGTGGAGGAAGAGCGTACGCGGTGAGACCCGAAAGATGGTGAACTATTCCTGAGCAGGACGAAGCCAGAGGAAACTCTGGTGGAAGTCCGAAGCGGTTCTGACGTGCAAATCGATA